TGATGCAGCCCAGAGTACGGTTGGCCTTCTGGGCTGCCAGCGCACATTGCCGGCTCATGTCCAGCTTTTCATCCACCAGTACCCCCAAATCCCTCTCAGCAGGGCTGCTCTCGATCCTTTCTTCCCCCAGCCTGTATTGATACTGGGGGTTACCCCGACCCAGGTGCAGGACCTTGCACTTGGCCTTGTTGAACCTCATGCAGTTCACACAAGCCCACCTCTCCAGCCTGTCCAGGTCTCTCTAGATGACATCCCATCCTTCTGGTGTGTCAACCGCACCACTCAGCTTGGTGTCATCCGCAAACTTGCTGAGGGTGCACTCGATCTCGCTGTCTAAGTCATTGATGAAAACGTTAAACAGCACCGGTCCCAGCACGGACCCCTGAGGAACACCACTTGTCACCAGTCTCCATCCGGACATCGAGCCATTGACTACTACCCTCTGGATGCGACCATCCAGCCAGTTCCCTATCCACCGAACAGTCCACCCATCAAATCCATAGCTCTCCAATTTAGAGAGAAGGATGTTGTGGGGGACCATGTCAAAGGCTTTGCAGAAGTCCAGATAGATGACGTCCATTGGTTGAGAGAGGGATCCTTTTATGTCACTACATCAAAGGTGGCAGGAGAGGGGCTGGTGGAGACAAGCTCACCAGAAAGCACCTTGTGATGCCGGTCATGGTACGGGGGTTTCCCTGCTGAGCCCCAGGCCATGGGGTTTGGGGTGAATGCAGGGTCTCGACATGGAGCTGGGACATCGGGCGCTCACTGAGGCTTTGCTCCCCTCTTGGCAGGTCGTAGCACTCACGCTGCTGACAGCCTCGGGGGAGATCCTGGAGTGCTCCCAGTCCACCAACGCAGACATCTTCCAGGCTGCCCGCCTGCACCTCGGCTGCCTGGGTGTCGTGCTGACCGTCACCTTCCAGTGCGTGCCCCAGTTCCACCTGCACGAGGTGGCCTTCCCCTCCACCCTCACCGAGGTACGCTGCGGGTGACGCTCTGGAAGCCTCCCTGGGGATAAGCAATGTTCTCGGTGAGGTGACGTGGTTGGAAGTGGTTACGCTCCGGTAGAGAATCCCCGAGCTGGGCGGGTGTGGGTTGCATCTTCATGGCATGCTTCATGGCATCCTTTAAGCTGGAAACTTCTCCAGGGTGACAAAGGAAAGGATGGAAAAGCCACGTTTCTTGGCAAATGCCATTTCAGCTTCCCATGGGTGGGAACAGCATCTTCTGGGGCCGGAGAGGTGCAGGGAGTGGGGTGGAAGGGTACTCTTGAGTGCCACTCATGAGTGGGCGGTGGGGACCTGCAGCAGGACGTGGGTTGCATGGTGGAGTTTGGTGTTCAGGAGTGGGGCAGGGTTTGGGGTGCAAGCCCCCGGCCTGGTTGCAAGCGGGGTGTTGGGAAATGGGGGTGCTGAGCCCCCTCGTGCTGCAGGGAGACGTTTGCTTCATCCCCCGGCGTGCTGCAGGGAGCAGAGGCAAGGGCTGAGTGGGCTCTGGCACCTTTGCTGGCCACAACACCCCGGGGGGAGGCTGGGTGGGGAAGCCCGGGGTGCTGTGAGTCTGCCCCCAGGAGCTCCTCAATCCTCGCACAGGGACCCACTGCGGCCCCCACTCTGCG